TCCCCGCCAGCACGGGGCCTGGGAAAGATGATGCCTGCTCTCTCTGAGGAGAAAAACCGAGTATCACCCCCAAAAGCCTCTGTGCCCAGGATGAGCCCTGTCATCTGCTGTGCCTGGGTAGCCTGATCTGTGCCGTGCCACCCAGGGCGTACCCTTCCCAGTGGCACCAGCAGTGCCAGCCTCTGGGTGCAGGTCCCTGCTTTGCCTCTGTCCCCCTGCCCCGGCCACAGACCGTTTCCAGGGCTGGGCAGGGCTGGGGAGGAAAACAAACAGCTGGGGGCAGGTTAGACCCGTTCCTGGGTAAACACGGGAGGGGCACTGATGCCACCCGGTCACTGTGCCCGGGTGGGAGCGGGGACATGCAAAGAAGGTGGCCCCAGCACAGTTTGGGGGGTTTCACCTCACTCTGGGTGTGTTTCTGGTGGTTGGTGGCCCTGCGGGCTTGGGTGGGACACAGCTGATTTGGAGGGGGCTTGGTTCTGGCTGATGGAGCTAAAACAGCCCCCAGGGCCTCCCCAAATACAGGGGTTGGGGGTAGGTGCCTGGAGAACCCCCACAGGCTGCTGGCAGTGTCCCAGGCTGCCAGCAAGGTGCTCGCTCGCTTTCTTTGACCGACATGAGCTCACTTGCCTGGTCAGCCTGGGGTGATAAGGATCTCCCCCCTTCCTGAGGCAGGGCAGCCCCACACAATGGTGTGAACTGCAGCCCTGACGGGACGGGCATTGTTCAGAGGCAGAGGAACGGGAAAGAAAAATAATAATAATAATTAAACCCCCTAAATAGCTTGCACAAAGCCAGGTCATGATATCATCGCTCCTCCCTGTGCGTGTGTGTGTGTCTCTGTGCTGCAGCAGCGGAGCACCACAGCTCGCTGCGGTGCCTTTGATGGGAGCAAAGTCCCCCAGCAGCGCTGTCCTGTCCTACGGTGCGCCTGCAGAGATGGGCTGTGGGTCCCAACCCTCTTCAGCTTCCCATCCCACCCCTCCTGCTAACTCAGGGTGCCTGCATGGTGTGTCTTCTGGGATGGGAGAGCTGTGGTGGGGCTGGCGGGCCAGGACACGTCCTGCAGGGAGGGGAGTGGGGCCAGTGGCACTGATTTACAGACAAGACTGGAGCTAAGCACGTGGATTTGGTTAATTGCAAGCCTGGGGGGACACAGGAGAATTATAAGCAACAAGTAGAGACAAGGAGGGACATGGGTGTAAAGCCAGAAGTAAGAGACAGAAGTCTGATTCCTCAGGGCCTGGATTTAATGGCTCCAAAGTGAGCTGAAACGCCTGTGCCCTGTTGCCTCCAAGTGACCCCCTGTGCTTGGCAGAGCAGGGGCTGGGCTGCCCATCCCGGGCGAGGCAGCAAAAGACAGTCCTAGGGCCTCCATTGCATGCAGGACCTGGCTGTGAGATGAGCTGCGGCCAAGGCTGGAAGTGACACTGGGGCCAGCGGTGTTTCAAACTGAGCAGGAACAAAGACCAGAAGAAAACAGGCCCCGAAAGGGCCTCCACCTCCTGGTAAATCTCCGTAAATCCCTGCAGTAGCTGAGCCTGGCCCTCCTGGGCAGGTTTACCTTAGTGAGGCTGGAGTACAAGGGCTTTTGTCGGGGGCTCTGCATGGCTCATGCTCCAGCCTTGTCTCTCATAACCAGCCAACAGAGGCAACCTGGGTCCCTAGAAATTTTCTGGGTCTGAATGAACATGCACACGTCCTTGTCCATCCTGGGGGTTGGAGGGAGGCAGCTTCGGTGGGTAGGTACAGCGCCGTTCCCCCCATCTCCTCTGCACAAGGGGAACAAGCCCCACCTCGGTCCCGGTGCTGCCGGGCGAGTGCTGCCCCCAGCGCAGGAGCAGGGCGAGGGGAGCGCTGGGGGAACGCTGGGGCGTGCGTGGGAACAGCCACAGAACAAAGCCGCGGAGGGGAACGGGCGCAGCCACGGATCCGGCTCCTATTTTTAGCCTGCTTCCTAAGGAAGCGCAGCGCACGGGCGCCCGCTGGCCCTGGGAGCCTCCCAGGCGGCGCGAGTGGAGCTGCTGGCAGGGTCAGGGCCGGTACGGCTGGGCCCGGCCTCGCTGGGAGCCCTCA